TCAAATGACTAGTGTGAGCACTGTAGATATAAGGCCCCTGAAAAATTGATATTGAACCAAAGAAACATAACTTTTGTTGTGGTGGCTGCTCCCCAAGCTCTGCTCTCCCCAATCCCACAGCCCTGTCTTCTGCTATACATTCTTATCTTTCACAACACTACTGCCTGATAAACTTGAATGGGTCATTTCCAAAACCTATTTTTATATTCTACCGCCAACAAAGATTTTCCCCTCCCCTATTGCACTCATCATCCCTTGCCTAATCATCCGATAAACTAATCAGGGCCGCCTAAAACCACTATCCCTCTCATGTTTCAGGAAGCCCCTTTGTGCACATCCTATCCATCACCATATAATTTTCTATTAACAAAGCTCAATTCTTATAATTAGCTCTATATTTGTTTGTGGTTATACCTATGCTAGCTTAAGCTCTAAACTTTATCCTCAGTTTTTGTGTTTCCTCTATTTGCGGTTTCAGTTAGCTAGCAACTTTTGCTTTTCTTATTTGTATGTAATTAACTTGTCTGAATTTCTGACTTTCAGGTGGCTTCTTCTCTCGACCTTTAGACTCATTAGAAATTTCTGATTAATAATCTACTCCTTTCACATGTGAAAAATCTGACCTGGACTTTGAAAGTATGGAACCGTACATCCAGGGAGTGGGGAAAAAGAAGCTGATTTCTACTTTGTTCTATCTGGAAAAATTCAGATAACATAACAGACAACAACTAACAAATGAGAGCAATTAATGAAGAGAGCTTTAACTCACTGATTCAGATTTTCTTGTGGGATTGAATAGCAAATTTTCTGCTGAGTTTCTCTGCTATTAAATACAAAACCAGTAAATGTCAAGGCTGTCTGAGGCCTCTCAGAACATTCTTCCAGTATTTTGGACTGTATGAAGCTTCTAAGCACTATTAAATGTATTTCTTATGAAAGAAATAGCACTTAGACTTATATACTGCTTCACAGCGCTTTACAGCCCTCTCTAAGCGGTTTACAGAGTCAGCATATTACCCCCAACCACCTGGGTCCTCATTTTACTGACCTCGGAAGGATGGAAAGCTGAGTCAACCTTGAATCAAGGGATGTGCCACTGTGGCCAAATCAATTACAGGCCATCATTAAAATGTGGGCTCATCCAAACATTGAATGTGACTATAGGAGATACAGGTGATGTTATCCCGGGACACGTATATTTGCCTTCATTCACAAAAATATTGCCCCATGATGCACCATTTCGCCCAGTTAAAGATCATGACAACATTGTACTTACTTATGATCCTAATACTGAATTCAGGGCTGTGACAACCCAGTGAAAGAAAAAGAAAAAACTTAAGTTCCACATGGTTCAATTAGCAACAGTTAATTAATTACTCTTTCACATGCTATTGTATAGTCAGCAAAGAAGAGAGAGTGCTTAAAATGAGCTATTATTTAAGGATTTAGTCCAAGTTGGAAAAATTTCAAGAGCATAGATAAATAAGATAAAAAAGTAGATTTTATTAAAAATGTTTCCCCTTCAAACTGCAAGACTGGGTTATTTTGTGAGGGATGCTATGTAGACCTCAGAGTCCTTGGAATCCAAAACTAAGTCTCCCTGTGCCATACATATAAATCCTTGAAGGTCATTTATGTCAGACATGTTTCAATTTCCCATTACAGTTTATTCTGGAATTAGTAATTTCCTTTCCTATTTCTATTTATTCCAACATTGGCAATTTTCTTCCCAATAATGAGATTTAAAACATCTTTTGGATGAAATTTAAATTCTAAATGGTAGTCAAAATCATGCATTTTTGTCATTTTTGTGTTCAAAATCTTCCAGAAAGATTCTTTGCTGTTGATGGCTATCAATTTTCTTCTGAAGGGGACTCAACTTGAAAAATTACATAAAAGGCAAATGTCCGTATTTTGAACTCAACCTATATGCACTCAGTGGTGGGATTCAGCCAGTTTGGACCAGTTCGGTAGAACCGGCAGCTAATTATTTTGAGTTCGGAGAAGCGGTTGACGTGTGGCAGAAATGCCACCCCTCCCGCCCCTGATCGGACCTATGTGACACCTTCTTTCCAGCTTCGACACAGTCCTCTGTCACTTCCTCCGCTGCTGTGAGCAGTCCCACAAACAGGTTTATGGGACTAAAAAAAAAGTTCAAACAATCAAGTCCAACTTCGCAAGATTTTTTTTTCTTCACGATAAATTGGATTTGATTGATAGAACTTTTTTTTTTAGTCTGCTGCTGGCCAGACCTGGCAATGCAGGAATCACTGCCGCCTCCTCCTACTTCATTGTGTGGCCGGCTGGTTGAGGGGCTCAGAGCAGCAGCTGCCGCCCCCAGCAGAAATGCCGAGAGGATGGGGCCCAGGTCGTGCAAGGGCCCACTTCCGGCTGTCCCGGGGCCGCCTCCACCTGTGCTGATGGAGCTGCGCTGAGGAAGGAAGATGGCGGCTACTCTAATTCCCCCTCTGCTGGCAGCTCCCACTCCAGCCCCCTTGCCCAGTGCCTCTTCTATGCAATCCTACCTGACCGTGGTGTGGATGACAGGCTCAGCCAGTGGGGCGGAGCTTTCCCTGGCGGAGGCATCCCAGCCCTCCCACCCCCCCTAGCTGGACCCCCTCACCTTCCCCCAGCTGGGATCTGCTGACCCCCCCTCCTGCACTCACCATTCCGAGACTCCTGCAGTCCCCTCACCGTACCCTCCTGCCCTCCCCAGCTGTGACCTTCAGCAATTCTGTAACTGGGAGCTCCTACACCCCCGCTGGGACCTCCTGCCCCCATCCCAGATGATCCCCGAGCAGCCCACCCCAACCAAGGTGGAGGGAAGGCGAGGCAGAGAACCAGTTGTTAAATTATTTGAAACCCACGACTGCATGCACTCCATATTTTCCCCCAAACATAGAGAAACTGTAACTTACCTTTGTCCACAGTCCAGAGATAAGAATGTTGATAAGTAACTCTCCTATACTAATAGAGGTGAAAGAATAATTTGAGCTGAATGTAAACAAGAAGTTTGTAAAGGTTAGAGGAAGTGAAGAATTTAGATGTGATTGGGGATTCAGTTGGTCTCCTTCTTTCAACCTTGTCTCCTTTAAACAGCTTTTTGGATTTTTGAAGAGGAAAACAACTCAGGAGAGGATGGAGCTGACATGGGCAGGAGTTCTGCTTCTTCTCTGTATACTTTTCACCCTTTTCTCATCTTTCCAAATG